AACCACACCTTTGTTTTTAGTGTTGGAATCTCTAAAGAGCCTTTTATAAGAAGTACATGTGTGTTCTGCCCATTATTATCCGTGTTTACCCCTAGGCCAATAAAGACTGAAGTTTAGTAAAGGAGGTATCTGCACAAAAATGATTATAAATATACACAGATTATGTGCAGTCACATACACATATCCACTCACAAATTCCACAGATCACAAGTATTATACATATGTATTGAGCCCCACGCTTACTCAGTCACACATGCATTACATATGAATTCATATACACACATAGCAAGTCACACACATTACATATGCTTTCATATACACACACACTTACCCAGTCACACACATTACATATATGCATGCACATATCCAGTCACACTAAACAAGCTTTTATAAGATCCAACACAACCCATTCTTAATCAGTGCGCTAAGTTTGGCACAGTCACCACAACCAATGAAATGCATTTGCTGAGTCCACCAAATGTAGTGTTTTCCTGAAGAATAGCTCTTGTTTTGCTTTTATGAAATATGACTCATTGAAATTTGAGTAATGGTCATTTGACAGCGTTGACGGGTCTGACAGTGAGTAATCTTGTGGTGTAATAGGAGAAATTTACATTGCACGCTTCACTGATCTGCACTAATGCAAAGTTCAGATTGCAAGCTCTTAGGTCGAGAATGATTCCTATTTCCCAGCACGTTCCATGCAGCATTATCTATGTAACCATATTGCTTACTGATGGCCTTGCGCAAGACACACTCTGGCAGAATCATATGCAAACATCATAATTGTAATAGCCATAATGACGATGCCCTCTCACCTTTACTCTTCCCCTCCGACCTGCCTACCACCGACTCACGTGATAAATAACTCTGTCTTATCAAGGTCAGTCAGTAAGGCCCTTTTTACATATCTCATAAATTTCACCCAGGTGCCAGTGATGTGAGATTAATGTAATGGCAGAGCAGCAAGCACTCAGCCTTGTCTTAATTATGCTTAGGTTGCCGGTTCATCGTTCCCCTTCATCTGTCTCCTGCTTTAGGGAACACTAAACACTATGTCATTAGATTGTCTGTTCCACAACATTGGCCCTTTTGCATCTACAAAGTCATCAGTAAGCTTAGGAGACAGCATCTTTCTTTTCCCAAAGAAATTAAATTGCGTGCAGGAGGCGGGGACATGAACAATATAGAAATACGCGTGTGCACAGGTCAAAATGTGAGTTCTAGGATGGGAGTATTCATTCCTGAGACAATCATTAGTGACCTTCCATGTACATTCATACTTATCCCTATCTATTTAATTTTCTGTCTACTTATCTATCAGAAGTTATATTACGGGTGCATTAGTATCGTATATATGGTAAATTGAAATAGCTTTCTTTGTTATTGTTTTTTTTTTTTTTTACATTTAATAATTAAAAGGGCTGTTTTAAATACCTTTACCCACTACAGCAATATTGTTCACCCAATAGAAAGGGTATCACTAAATACAGCAATAGCCCTATTATGGGGTTATCTGAATTGTAGAACTAACACAGGCAATCCAATCTACATATACATATTCTATTCATTGGTACATATACACATTCTATCCTATAGGTGGCAGTATAAAGTCCACCCATGATCCAGTTTATTCATTGCCTTTATATATATATTAATGCTAGTGACAAATAAGAAATTAACAAAATAAAACAAAGTAAAAATGCCTGATAGTGCTCCTATTTTTCATAAGAATTGCGAGAAGTGTTGGAGGCATCAAGGCATTTTGAAGTAAGGTATAGTGCCAGTAATTGTTATATTTGTCAGTTTGTGACATTTGCGTTGTCAGTGCCTATAGTGGTTCTCTGTAACTTGGTGTACTTGTTTGGGACATTATTGATATATAATGTATTGTCCCATCATGACCTGCAGCTCATAGTTATTCCCCTGACATGTTTAGCTCATTGAAGACTTGGCAGCTACACAAACATATCTATGAATAAACGTCAAGGGTTTCCCCATTGGGATAATGTTCACAATTAGCAGAACTTTACAAGATGATAGCACAGCCAGTGAACCTACCCTTTCAAGATGGTATCACTTAAAGGAACTATCATCCTTTACCAAGCTGGCTTATTTTTGTCATTGCTACATTCTATCCAAGGATCTCCCCACGGCTGCCTTATGTGGAAACCCAAAACGACAAAATGTTTTTCTTTTTATCGTAGATAGACAGACAGATACAATGATGAACTCTATCTAGACCTAGTTTAGGAGCATGTGGTGAAGGAATTACAGGAAACAGTCTTAGACAAAAAGAATTTATGATCCTCGTCAATAAAGATGTACAGGTCAAATACAGATGTTTTTTAGTCTTCCACAGACCTGGTAATAAGCTATTTCTCTGTGTAGTGATGTGATGCACCTGACCCTGTGTTCTAACTTGTTGGGGTAATTAGCCAGAACCATCCGCAGATTGTTTCCACACTTGACTGGTACGATCACAGGCTCACCACTGTCACCAGGCAGCTAAAAGCAGGCTACAAAGCCATCAATCACCCACTTTCCCTGCGTCACCGTTCCCTGCAGCAGCTATCACAGGCCATGGATAGCAACCCAACCTAAAATAAGTCTGGCTTTCCTAGAGCAGTGATTGATTTAATTTGCCACTGCAGCTGAGCCATCACTGCTCTAGTTTATAATTTCATCCAACACTTAATACTATTTTATAGCAAAACACCTGTTTGGGAACATATATATGACATTGCTGCTGAAAAAAAGGGTAACCATGGAAAAATGATGATTGTGTACTAGGCTAGCAAATCTCCTTTTGACCAGTATTGCCTTTGTGATGTCATAGAAAAGGTAAATTCTGCAGTGCTGCTTTGAAATCGCTGCTACACTTCAGTATGCACTATTTTCTAATCTTTTGCAGATTCTAGAATTGTAGAACAACACGCCAGTGCTGTTTTCTGTAATTAGTCAATGTTGTCTGAAAATATTTGCATGTGAGTAAGAATGTTTGAAAGACTGCCTGGGTTTTTTTTTCCCGTCACCTGTTTACAAACCAAGGAAACATCTTTATACATACGTTAAAACAGAAGGGATTTTTTTAATTTTTTATTTAAGTTTAGAATTGGTATTTTTATTGATAATCTTTGCAAGTGTCCTCGACCTGAAAGCTGATGTGACTGTTATTAGTGAGTTGTTGATCTGTATGAGCCAGATTTTCTTATATCCAGGTGGCTTAATTTGACAGTCCCTCTATGTCTTATGTCCCTGGGAAAAAAGAGACTGCCTAAGACTCGTGTTGTGTCAGCTGTCAATCAAAATCAGTGATGTTTATGGTAGAGCTGATGAGCCCCCAGCATTTGGGAGTATTTAGAACATGCACACCCAATTGGCCCCAGATTACCCAGAGTAATTTTTTATTTATTTAGCAAAACAGAATTTAAATTTTTTTTTTTTTAAATAAACTAATATGGGCAAGTTCATACACCTTTAAAATGCAGAATAATTGTGCAGTATGCATTTCCAATGACATATAGAATATGTAAATAAATCATATAACTGGGTAGTGAGCTGGATAATTAATCTAAACGTGGTGTAAATATGTAGAGAAAGAGGAGAGATAGTAGCTGTGCAATAAACTTTTACAGTTCTAGAGGTGAGATGACAGGTAAAAGTGTTACATAAATATGTAGCCAGGCTGGGGAATGACACGTTAAAGTGTGATGTAATTATGTGTTTATTCGTGGAAGGGATGAAAGGTGAGAGAATCGGTGGGCCCCCCCTCACCTTATCCATGTCCCTCCCTATCCCTCCTGACACATACACACAGACACACACACACAAACATACACATAGACAGACACAAACACACATACATACACCCCTCGACAGACACATACATACAGACAGACACACACATATATACACACAGACACATACACATACACATACATACACACACACAGAGACACACACACATAGAGACACACACACATACAGACACATACATAGACACACACACATACGGGGCCACATGGATTGTGTGTACGCCACTGCATACATAGACACACATACATACAGAGACACACGTGCATACAGAGACACACATACATACAGAGAGACACAGACACACATACATAGACACACACACATACATACGGGGCCCCATGGATTGTGTGTACGCCACTGCATACATAGACACACACGTACATACAGAGACACACACAAAATACATACAGAGAGACACACAAATACATACAGACACAGACACACATACAGAGACACACACACACACATACAGAGAGACACAGACACACACATACAGAGACACACACATATAGAGACACACACACATACAGAGACACAGACACACACACACACACACACACACATACACAGACACGCACACATACAAAGACACACACACATATAGAAAATGTTTCCTACCTTGTGACTTTCCCTGGGGTCCAGTGGGGGCTCAGCCTGATGGGAGTCAGAGTTCCCACTCTGACTTCCTCCTCCTCCTCCTCCTCCTTCCTCCCGTGCGGGCTCTCAGTATGCTGGGAGGAGTGACCGGGGAATCACTTCCTCCCAGCGATGATGTAATCACAGGGGGCCCGGTCAGGCTGTTAAAGCGCCCAGCACAGACCGGGCCCCCTGATAATCCATATCCATTGGGTGGCCCAGACAGCATGGGCCACCCGATGGACCCCTCCAAAACGTGGCAACTGGTACACGGTCGCGTGGGTCCGCAGGGCGGCCAGGCCCCCTGGAGTGCCGGGCCAAGACGGAGCTGTGACCCCTGCGACCGTGGTATGTACACCGCTGCTTGGTGAGGTATGGCCGGTAGAATGGAGATGTAAACATGCATGAATAGGTGAGTTATAATGGGTAAACCCATGTGTACCGAGGTATTTGGTACCATCAAAGTGTAAGCTCATCTGCCAACATGAAGGCCAACTCTAGGTGAGTCCTCTACTACCAATTCACCTTGCTGCTTTCAGCTAAATGGCAAAGCCTCTTAATGAGACAGAAGTGGGCATTGTTATAAAACCCTAGAAACTAGTACTCTTCGTAGAGAATGCAGAAAGTGTGCAGGACACTGTAACAAGACTGTATAATACAGAAGCAGGTGAAAAACGTATTAAGTGAAATATAAAATAGTAGGTAGCTATGGAAGTCATCTTTAAAAGGATGAACAAGGAAATGGATGGTATTTATCGGTGCTATAACAAAATTCAAGATTTGCGTGGATAGAAAAATGTCAGTCGTGAAAAAAAACCTACAGTGGGCTGTTAGCCAGCCACCCAACATTTGGAATATCTGCCTAATAATAAACTGCTTGCAGCACCATTAAATGCAACTTTCCAAAGATCTAGCTTATTCTTTTGTTACAGATTCGCCATTTGTGGTTTGTGCCCTCTCCTCTGCTTACGAGTGGCCCCCTGTTTGTCATGCTAAGTTCTTTTTTCTTGCTCGATGAATTCTTTCCAAGAGGCACTGGACCCATTATTACAAACAGACACACTTTGCTTATATGAAAGAGTTAGGAAGATGGCTAGCCGGGTGTTCTTCTCCCTGCTTTGGTCATCTCTGGGGCTGAGATAGAGTCTTTGTTGTAAGGACAGAAGCTCTCCCGTCTGAACGGCTTATCTTCCTGGCAGCACCGAGCACCGAGCGATCAAGTCCAGTCACTGCTTCTCTGTTCCACCATAGAAATGGAGAGACACTGTTAATGGTCAGGGGAAGAGGCTGCATTTAAGTGCCTGGCGTCAGCACAGAGATTCAATGCTGACAACAAACAATATCTCAAAGCCAGCCTGGGAAATAAGGAACTAGATAGGAAATGGAAAACAGCAGATTCGATTAACTCCATCTTTTAATACACTGCTTATACTTTTTTTTTTTTTTTTTACATAAACACAATTTATTATGAGACATGGATAAATAATTAGCATTTTAAACAGGGTAAGCACGTATATTCACATCATTCTAAACCAAGACATAATGATCCTTAGAAATACTATTTCAGAATATTTTGCTAGACAACCTGCATTTCGAAACATTCTAAATAAGATTTCGCTCTCAAGTACCACCAATAGGACTATATTAAAAAAAATTCTTCCTATTACTAAAAAAGAATAATTGTCTCAGTATATCGTATAGATATACGTTAGGGCCCCTCAATCTTTTGGAGCTCCTTGTAAAAAAGATTTGTGGGACAGCTTAACTTCCCAACAATATCACAGGTCTCTTTCTGTTGCCTCCTTTTTCCTTTAGAGCAGTTCTTGGTCCCTGGACATCTGGTGGGTGCAGTGCGTGCAAATTGTAATGGTGCGGAAACCTCTTGACCGGTGTATCGTTGCCATATGGGCATTCGGAACCTTGGACAAGCCCCCCACATACCTTACCCAATAAAACACAGACACCATGGTATATGGATAAAATTGTCCACAGCTTTATTAAATAAAAATAACTTAACATAGAAACTTTAGGTCATTGCCCTATGCCCTGCCTTCACTTCCTTATCCTTCCACTATAAACATATATATATATATATATATATATATATATATATATATATATATATATATATATATATATATAACATTATACCAACATAAACATCACTTAAAGTGCCAACAATTTATTATAAATTAACCATGGTAGGGGTTTACCCGGATACCCCTACACCACCAGGTTCTGAGCCACTGACAGGACTCGAAACCTACCAAACATACCAATAACCATTTACATAACCTTCCTAATGAGGAGCCTATTTCCTCTCCTTCAGCTCCCTATCCTGCCGCTGTGACAAAATGTGACAACCCACTGCAACCAAAACCCAGGGAGGGTGGGACAAATTCAGCCAGGTAGGCAAGTTAAAAGTGACTCTTCCAAGATGTCTGCCTATTTATATAGCCCAACCCCTTACCCACAAACAACCAATCCCAACTAGCTTCCTCCTATGCCTGCCTCCTAACCCCTGTCAAGGCCCCTTCACACTAAGTTGAGCTTTTGCTACATGGGGCTACATTCTGAATAAAACCTGGGGAAATGTTTATCAATGCTTTCTGTCCTGTATACTTACCAATATCGATACTGCACTCTACTGGATCCCATGGTGCAACCGGGTTGGCCATTCCTCACAATTTGCAAAAAAAAAAGTAATGATGGTCCAGGTGCAAACAAGTAATGACAAAGGCCCTGTTGTTGGCCTAAATGTTGTTTAAATTTTGCTCCAATAAATCTGCCCACTGGATTGAACTTGAGTGCCTGGACCATCATTACCTTTTTGCTTTCTGTCCTGTGTCACTCCAAAGTTGTCTGGTGTTTGCAGTGGATAATTACACACACCCACCATGGATGCTCTGAGGATATAGGGTGTGGAGTGACTGCTCCTCATAACCTTTCCTAATGGTGTCCCAGACCTACCTACCCACATATGAGAAGATCCTACACTTCATCATTGCTAGTGGTTCTTGATTGCTTCCACTGATAATATTTGCCCTCAAATAGTGTTATACAACCGCTTGTATACCAGAACTGCACATTATGTTAAATTATTATGTATGGATTTATGTTTTCACCAACAGTAAACACACGTTAAAATTTAATATGCATTTTTTGTTTTGTGAAAATATCTATAGTGTTAAGGATGAAAGACAATGGTATTTTGATGCCCCTTTAAATCCAGTGTTGCTCCTGGTTTCCGTGTTCCCTTTATGGTGTAAAGAATTAGCTAGGTGCTTTACTATCAGTGATAAGGCTTCATAGGAACATCATCAACGTATCTTCCCCTTGACTTTTTCTAATAAGTACTGGCTATGAGTGGTAGTCTGGTTACCCTAATGGTAGAACAGTTGGGTCAGCCATTTCAAGCGGTTTTCTTTTGAATACCATAAACTCTGTACCAGCATAGGAAAGAATGCTACCAAAGAATAAATATGTCTTATACCGCTCTTAAGTCAAGTAATTTATGTAGTCTTTGTAGATATCTGTCGGGAACCAATTTGATAAATAAATGTACTAACCTTATTCTGATTGCTTATGAATGTTTGGGCTATTTTTCCAATGTTGACCCACAGTGTTGCTATTTATAGGCGTTTAATATTAAATGAAGACATTTTCCATTCTGTTGGCTAGTTGAATTCATTTAATGTTGCTTAAAATACAAATTGGATTCAATCGTTGTGAGATTGTAAGCTGCTGTTCCCAAGTACAGTTAAATATTATATAAGATTCTGTGTTTGTTACGCTGCAACTATTTCAAGTCTTTGCCTTTTAAACAATATATTGTCGATAATAAATCATTTCAACTGTACAGGTTTAAGAATATCTTCAATTAAGGTTTAAGTCCTTAGGCTCTAAAATCTCGCTTTATCGACTTGATTCAGACTATCAATATAACAGCCAACTCAAATGGAATGTTTACTATAAATATATATATTAAAACTGAAATATATTTCACAGTACTGTGTAATGGATATATGAAACAGAAAACATTAATGGCATTACAATTTCATATAGGAACCAAATGAGTGGAGAGAAATGGAACCAAAAGAATGGCATATGTTTGTTTTAAAGGGACATTGCAGTCACCAAAACAATTTTAGCTTAATGAAACAGTGTTGGTGTATAAATTATGGCCCTTCAGTCTCACTGCTCATTTTTTTGCAATTTTTTGCAATTTGGGAGTTAAATCAATTTGTTTATGGAGTCCTAGGCACATGCAGGGGATGTGACTTACACAGCCTTCTTAAACACTTCCTATAAAGAGACATCTAATGTTTACACTTCCTGTATTGCAAATTCTGTTTAATTTAGAATTTTTCATCTCCTGCACTGTTAATAGAGCCCGCTGTATGTGATTAAATTTAATTTGAATCTTTTAAAGTAAGATACATCTGATTGAAAGTGAAATCATTTTGTTTTCATGCCGGCTGTGTCAGTCACAGTCAAGGGAGGTGTGGATAGGGCCACATAAACAAATAAACAAAAGTGATTTAACTCCTAAATTGCGGCAAATTGAACTGTGAGACTTCAGAAGCATCTATACACCAAAACTGCTTCATTAAGACAAAGTTGTTTTGGTGTCCCTTTAACAAGAAAAGTGGATTAGAGTGTTTAAGTGGAAAAATGGCACTTAAACCTATAGCTTGTTCCTGCTGACTTTATATTGTGATTGTTCTATTTGCAGAGTTTTGCCCTAATATTATATAAGCAATATATATATAAACAATCTTAAAATTATTTATTTTTTATTTTCTGGGAGAAATGACTGACTTTTAAAGAAAAATTAAATGTACGTGAGCCTGTCAATAGCTTGGTAAACAGCTAATAACTGACATACTTTAACCCAGCGAAACACTTAGGCTGAAATTAAAACTTAGCCTAGATATTGGTAAACCACATTCCCTACGATGATGTTCAGATGTTCAGATATCCGTAACGGTGGCCGAGCATCATGGTAAAAGTAATGTCTAAGGATGATGTTGAAGGCCAAACTAGCTATAATTAACAACTAGAAGTAAGAGTATGACATGGCCCCTGCCCCTCTGGATGCTGATGTACCGGTATCGACATTGTACGCTACACCAGTTCACATCAATTCAGCAATATCGGTGTGGTACCCTTGTGACATAACTGACCCATGCCTATAGGAGCCTCTCTGGGGTTATTTAAGGCCACTCTGACCATTGATCTTTGCCATGTCATTGCCTCTATTACTCTTAGTGTGTTCAGAATTCTTGTGTGTATTATAGTTTTGACTCAGCTTTGCTTTTTGACTACACTGACATCTGGAGTTCTTGGCTCTGTTTAGAAGCTTTCCTATTATTCTGTATCTGTTGACCTCAGCCGTTCTTACAGACTGTATTCTAAACTATGGTTTGTTAAGCCTGGCCAACCTAAGGATCGGTAGTATGTCTTCCTTTGTAGTTTATGGATATTCTTAGCTTTATGTTTGCATGTTGGTGGTGTTCCACCTTTGACCCAGTGTATGCTCCTAACAATATACATTTACACAAATCACGCAGTTTGTCTATAATCTATATTGTCTGGTCATGGTTTTGATACGGTTAGTTATTGTGTTGTACCTTTCATTCAGACCAAAGCTCTTGTCAGATGTATTGATCCATACCTGTTGGGTTTTAGAGATGGATACAGAATTACTCCTGTAATATTCCCAGTAGCGGCCGCAGACCGGAGGCGTTCATTCACC